AAAAAATTTAAGATTAGCTGGGCATGGTGGTGGTGGTGCATGTCTGTAGTCCCACTTACTTGGAAGGCTGAGGTGGGAAGGTCACTTGGGGCCAGGAGGGCAAGGTTGCAGTGAGTTGAGGTTGTATCACTGCACTCCAGCCTGGGCCACAGAGCGAGACCCTGTCTCAAAACAAAACGAAAAAACAATAGCCATCCATAAATTTTGTTTAACATGCCCGAGAGGCTTATTTCGGGATGGACATTCTGAACCTCCTCAGAGCAAGCGTGCATGCGTGTTTAGATGCATGGAAGTTGCAGTTTGGGGCTCACAGGGTTATACTCAGTGACAGGGTAGTGGGGGTGGGGGTCTCTGTCACAGCTCCTGGTCCCCAACTAAAGCTCCAGTCGCTGGTGATCTGTGGGTCGCTGGGGCCCTGGGGACAGGTGCCAGCATTCCTGGGCTGAGCCACCTGCTGGCGACACACTGGGCTTCTCCACCCCTGCAGGGCAAGGTGAAGGAGAGGAGAGAACGCATTCTGCTGGAGTTTGAGAAGATGAACCTCTACCTGGCAGAGGAAGAGCAGAGGCTCCTCCGGTCTCTGGAGAGGGAGGAGGAGGAGACCACCAGCAGGCTCCAGGACAGTGTGGCCTGCCTGGACCGGCAGGGCCACTCCCTGGAGCTGCTGCTACTGCAGCTGGAGGAGCGGAGTGCGCAGGGGCCCCTCCAGATGCTGCAGGTGAGCTGGTGGGCTTTGCAGCTGGGGTGGGACATGAGCTTGGACAGGCATGGGCAGGGGGCACTGGACTTGGTGAAGAGGCAGCAGACAGGGAAAGGCTGTTAGCTCCCAGTCCCGGAGGCTGGGTGGCCGAGGCCAAGGTGGGCAGGGCTGGTCCCTCTTGAACCTCTCTCCTGGGCCTGAAGATGCCATCTCCTCCCTTGTCCTCCCAGCGTCACCCCGTCCATGAAGGTGCCAGTTAGACTGGATTAACCTCAACCTTAACCTGCTCCTTAAAGAAACACAGTCACATTCTGAGATCCTGCGGGTTCAGGCTTCAGCCTGTGAATTTGTGGGGACACAAGTCAGCCCCTAACAGGTTCCAACCTGAGACAGTGTCCCCATTTCCTTCCAAGTCCAGAGAGCTGGCCTGGGACACCTGGCAGCCAGCTGCAGCTTTGGGACAGGGACGCTATGTCTCGGTGTGTGGGAGGCGCACTGTCCCAGGATTGAGTCTCGTGGCAGCGCCTGATTGCAATGGCAGCGGGGAGGTGACCAGGCCAGCCTGCCATGGCCTTGGAGAGGCTTGATTATGGCCGACGAGACCCCATCTCTACCAAAATTTACAAATACAAGCAGGGCATGCGCGTGCCTGTGCTCCCAGGACTCAGGGGGCTGAGGCAGGAAGATCTCAAGCCTGTGGGCTCAAGGCCACAGTGAGCTATTGCGCCACTGCACTCCAGTGGGGGCGATGGTGAGATCACATCTCAAAAAAAAACGAAGAGGCAAGCAAAGCTGCCTGTTCCCAACCCACTGCATTGGTCTGCGGCCCCACTGAGCGGAGGAGCCCCAGCAGCTGGCAGAAGGGTGCTCCTGGGAGCTGGGGGCCGCGCATGCCACCTGCATGGGGTCCCTGCCAAGACTTAGGGTTGCGCCCTGGACTCTAGAAAAGTGGCCTTTGGAGAACAGAAGTCCCTTGTAGCTTCTGGGCCAGGGAAGTGAACAGTGGTCTCTTCAGGGGACTCTGAATCCCTAAAGAGGCTACAGAAAATCCCCAGGTGGCTCAGTCTGTTACCCGCCCCCCCCTTCCAAAACTGCACCCCCACCCCATTCCTGCTGGGTGGGCTGCAGCCACCCGAAATGGGACAGAAGGGTCAGTGTCGAGTGGCCAGTTGCCCAGAAGGGCTCCCTCTGCCTTTGCTGAGCCGAAGGACCTCTGGTGTCTGACCGTGGGCTGACTGCGTAGCTCAGCTTCGCCGAGGCACTGGGGGCTCTGGTAGGAGTGGGAGCTGAGGCAGTGGGGACAGCTCCGGAGTGCCGTGAGGTCGCCTACAGGAAGGAATGCCCAGGGGACAGGACGGGTCTTGCCCTAAGACATGGACAAGAAGGAGGTGGGGACACCGAGGGGAGCCAGGAGCTGGGCCCACTCCCCGCCTCCATCCTTGTCTTTTGCAGGACATGAAGGAACCCCTGAGCAGGTACGTGGTCCCCGCAGGTGGGGGCAGCAGCGGTGGGGAGGTGGGGGGCCAATAACACGGTGGGGCGGGGGGACAGTAAGACTGTGCCCACTGGAGGAAGAACAGTGTGAGTGTGCAGTGCCCAGAGGTCGCCCTCCCCGCCGGACCCAGGACTGTGTGCAGGGTTCCCGGACAGATCGAAGTGCTCAGAGGCTTCCTAGGTAAGTGGGCACCCAGGGCCGGGACCCCTGACCCAGGATCTCTTGGCAACACCCCACTGTGCCCCCCAGCCTTGGAAGCCACCAGTGGGGGGTCTGCGAGTGCACTGCCTGTTGACAGTCACGGGTTACTTACTGTGCCCTCGAAGGGCAGCATTACTGGGGGTTTTAATCCGTGGGATGAAGCTGGAGTGACCCTCCGCCTGGGCCCCGGCTCCTTGTCGCCCCAACATCCACACACGTTTAGGGTGTAGGAGCATCAGGTAACCCCAGCTTCATGGCAGGAGAGACCTCTAGGGAGTTAAGGGACCATTTGGCCACATGCACTGCTAGGGCCCGGGCGCTCCCACCTTTGACCCTGATCTCTCTGTGGCTACTCTGCCCATCCACAGAGGAGGTGGTGCCGGACCCCACCTCCGCGTACCCCTACCTCCTCCTGTACGATGGCCGCCAGAGGTGCTACCTGGGCTCTCCGCCGGATGAAAGCAGCTTCTGCAGCAAAGACAGATTCGTGGCTTACCCCTGTGCTGTGGGCCAGGCGGCCTTGTCCTCTGGGAGGCACTACTGGGAGGTGGGCCTGAACATCACCGGGGATGCGCTGTGGGCCCTGGGCGTGTGCAGAGACAACGTAAGCCGGAAAGACAGGGTCACCAAGTGCCCCGAAAACGGCTTCTGGGTGGTGCAGCTGTCCAAGGGGACCAAGTACTTGCCTGCCACGTCCACCCCCACCCCCACCCCGGTCATGCTGACGGAGCCACCCACCCACATGGGCATCTTCCTGGACTTCGAGGCCGGGGAGTTGTCGTTCTATAATGTGAGCAATGGGTCCCACCTGCACACCTACTCCCAGGCAGCCTTCCCGGGCCCCCTGCAGCCTTTCTTCTGCCTGGGGGCGCCGAAGTCTGGTCAGATGGTCATCTCCACAGTGACCATGTGGGTGAAGGAATAGACACCAGGCTGGGGGACTCTGGCACTGCCCCCGGCTCTGCAGAAGGTGGGGGCCTTCTGCTTACTGCAGGCCACCTGCCAGGGTTCTCTGGCACTACGCTGGCAGCCATTAGCCACGCAGGGGGGGTTCTCAAAGTCTATAACCATGATTAAAACCGTCAAACATTAAGAGGCTGTATTGCCAGATGCTTCCTAGAGGAAACTTGAAAGCTCCTGCATTCTGAGTGGACTGACTTCTAAATCCGTACCTGCAGAGCAGGAACACGTGGTTTTCTTTAGCCGCACCCCCACCTTCACTTTGGAATGACACGAATTCGTGGCTCCCGGCCCCCCAGCAGTGTAGGTTACTGTCAGAGTTTGCATCCTATTGCGGGATGGGGGAGGCGGTGATTAGTTGCTCTGCCAGGGATGGTCCCAGGCTGCCCGTGGAAATATCCTATGCATCCTATTGGGTCCTTCGAAGGGGGAAAATGCGAAAGGCTGAACCCCTAAAAAGCCTCGGAGTTGCCCACCCCCATCCCGTTCGACCCCCAAAGTTGCACGAGCAGGTGCAAAATCCCAGAGGTTAGGATTTATCTAGGGGCCTCCTTTCCACAGCGCCCTTCCCTTTTCCAAGGACCCCCCACCCACCCCCGCAGCCTCAAGCACTTTAACAGCCCGAGTCAGTCACCAGCGCCGCAGAATTCCGGAGGCAGCGCACTCCTACCCCGCCGAAGCCGGAGTCTGCGCTACGGGCTGCCGGGAACCACGCGCCCCTTCGGAGTGCTTCCCGCAGAGAGAATGTGCGCCTCTTGCAGAGCTGGGCCTGGAGGGACAGTCCGGTCCCATCTCCCAACCCCAGTGATTCTGACCTTGGCCTGCCGAGGCCGTGTGGGCCGGGCCTTCCCGAGGATGCCCGCCCCGGGACGCACGCGGGGTAGACCGAGGCTCCACTGCCCCGGGGTGCGGGTTCCCTGGGTCCCTGTAGTAGCTACCGTGTGCCCGGCCCTCTGCCATCCCTCTGAGCCTCGCCCCTGCCCCACCTCTCCCCGGTACCCTATTACGTGCGTCCCCGCCCTCCCCTGAGCCCCGCCCTCTTTCCCCTCCCTCCGTGAGCCCCGCCCTTTCCCCCTCCGTCCCACCCCTGCGCTCCGCTCCTGCCCCCATCCGTCCCGGCGCCCCGCCCCCTGCCCCATGCCTCCCCTGCGCCCGCCCCCTGCCCCCATCCCTCCCCTGGGCCCCGCTCCTGCCCCATCCCTCCCGTGCGCCCCGCCCCCTGCCTCCATCCTCCCTGCCCCATCCCTCCCGTGCGTCCCGCCCCTGCCGTCATCCCTCCCCTGCGCCCCGCCCCTGCCCCATCCCTCCCGTGCGTCCCGCCCCTGCCCTCATCCCTCCCCTGCGCCCCGCCCCTGCCCCATCCCTCCCGTGCGCCCCGCCCCCTGCCTCCATCCGCCCTGCCCCATCCCTCCCGTGCGCCCCGCCCCTGCCCTCATCCCTACGCTGCGCCCCGCCCCTGCCCCATCCCTCCCCTGCGCTTCATTCCTCCCGAGGGCCAGGGTAAAGACTACGTCACACCAACTCGAGCGGCGCGGACGCCGGGTCAGTGACTGAACGCTCTCCAATTCTGTCCCGCCCGAGGGCCGCGTGACGGGCAGCGGCCAATCGGAGGCAAAAGCGCGTTCTTCCAAAAAAAAAAAAAAAGCCACCCAGTCGCTTCCTGCTTCCGCCTCGGCTCCGGGTCCTCTTCCTGCCGGCGTCCGGGAGCCCGACGTCCCGCGTCCCTCGAGCCCGGAGCCTCCGCGCCCACCGTTTCCCAAGCCCAATATCCTGCGCCCCGGAGTGCCCGCGCCTCGGAGCCCGAGCCCCGCCCCGGAGTGCCCGCGCCCGCGCCGCCGCAGCCGGATCCCCCGCGTCCCTGCGACCTCCCGCGCCTCCCCGCCGCCGCCCCGCGGACAGTACCGCGTTCCTCCGCTCGGCCCGCGCCATGGCCGCCCCCGATCTGTCCACCAACCTCCAGGAGGAGGCCACCTGCGCCATCTGCCTCGACTACTTCACGGACCCGGTGATGACCGACTGCGGTCACAACTTCTGCCGCGAGTGCATCCGGCGCTGCTGGGGCCAGCCCGAGGGCCCGTACGCGTGCCCCGAGTGCCGCGAGCTGTCCCCGCAGAGGAACCTGCGGCCCAACCGCCCGCTCGCCAAGATGGCCGAGATGGCGCGGCGCCTACATCCGCCGTCGCCCGTCCCGCAGGGCGTGTGTCCCGCGCACCGCGAGCCCCTGGCCGCCTTCTGCGGGGACGAGCTGCGCCTGCTGTGCGCGGCCTGCGAGCGCTCGGGGGAGCACTGGGCGCACCGCGTGCGGCCGCTGCAGGACGCAGCCGACGACCTCAAGGTGCGCCCGGGCGGGGGCAGCGAACAGGGGCGTCGGGGAGCCGGGAGCTGGGGAGGCCTGGGCGGGTGGGGGGCTTGGGGGGCTGCTCCAGGCCTAATCTGTCACTTTCTAGGGCGGGGAGCTCAAGATGCAGTCTGCCCTGGGCCTGTGAGGGCGGTGTCGCGTAGGGTGGCTGTGGGGGCTCATGACAGTCTGTTTCAAGCAGGTCCCTTGGGGCCATGGCCGCCAATGGGACCCCGCTCTCGGGGATGAGGGGCGTACCTCCCGTAGATAGAGGCTAAGAGGGTAGGGTGGAAGGTGGTGGCGTGGAGGCAAGGCAAATGTGAGCATGCACTATGTGGGTGTACACTATGAGCGTGCCCTGTGAGCGTACACCATGTGAGCGTACACGCTGGGCGTGCACTGTGAGCGTGCACTATGTGGGCGTACACTATGTGGGCGTACACTATGTGGGCGTGTACTATGGGGTGTACACTATGGGAGCATGCACTGTGAGCGTACACTATGAGCGTGCACTGTGAGCGTACACTATGTGAGCGTACACGCTGGGCGTGCACTGTGAGCGTGCACTATGTGGGCGTACACTATGTGGGCGTACACTATGTGGGCGTGCACTATGGGGTGTACACTATGGGAGCATGCACTGTGAGCGTATGCTGTGAGCGTACACTATGAGCGTGCACTGCAAGCATGCACTCTGAGCGTACGCTGTGAGCGTGCACTATGAGCATACACTGGGTGTACACTGTGGGTGTGCACTATGAGCGTACACTATGGGCGTGCACTGTGAGCGTGCACTGTGTGAGCGTGCACTGTGTGAGCGTGCAGTGAGCGTGCACTATGTGGGTGTACACTGTGAGCGTGCACTGTGAGTGTACACTGAGTATGCATGAGCGTGCACTGAGCATGCACTCTGAGCATACGCTATGCGAGCATGCACTATGTGAGCATACACTATGTGGGCATACACTATGTGAACGTACATCATGTGGGTGTACACTGGGCATGCACTATGAGCATACACTATGTGGGCTTGCACTGTGAGCATGCACTACTATGTGAGTGTACACTATGTGGGCATACATTGAGCGTGCACTATGTACACTATGGGTGTGCACTGTGAGCGTGTACTTTGTGGGCATACACTGGGCGTGCACTGTGAGCGTGCACTATGTGAGCATGCACTATGGGCGTGCACTATGGACATGCATTGTGAGCGTGCACTGTGTGAGTGTACACTATGGGCGTGCACTATGTGAGCGTGTACTATGTGGGCGTGCACTATGGGTGTGCACTATGAGCATGCAGTATGTGGGTGTGCATTGTGAGCATGCACTATGTGAGTGTGTGCTGTGTGAGTGTACACTGAGCGTGCACTATGGGTGTGCACTGACCATGCACTATGTGGGCATGCACTGTGAGCGTGCACTATTTGAGCATACTCTGTGGGCATGCACTTTGTGAGCATGCGCTGTGAGCATGCACTATGTGGGCATACACTGAGCATACACTATGTGAGCGTGCACTATGTGAGCATACACTATGGGCGTGCATTGTAAGTGTGCACTATTTGAGTGTACACTGTGGTCATGCACTTTGTGAGCGTGCACTATGTGGGCATACACTATGTGAGTGAACACTGTGGGCATGCACTGCCAGTATGCACTATTTGAGCATACACTACATGGGCATGCACCATGTGAGCGTGCAGTGTGTGAGCATACACTATGTGAGCATGCACTATGTGGGTGTGCACTGTAAGCATGCACTATTTGAGTGTACACTATGTGGTCATGCACTTTGTGAGCATGCACTATGTGGGTGTATACTATGTGAACGAACACTGTGGGCATGCACTGTCAGCATGCACTATTTGAGCATACACTATGGGGGCGTGCACTATGTGAGCGTACACTGTGGGCATGCACTATGTGAGCGTACGCTGTGGGCGTGCACTATGTGAGCATACACTATGTGAGCGTGCACTGAGCATGCACTATGTAAGCGTGCACTATGTGGGCATCCACTGCGAGTGTACACTGAGCATGCACTGTGGGTGTGCACTATGTGAGCATATACTATGTGGGCGTGCACTATGTGAGCGTACACTGTGCACTGAGTGTGCACTATGAGCGTGCACTATGTGAGCATGCACTATTTGAGCATACACTGTGGGCGTGCACTATGTGAGCATACACTGAGCGTGCACTATTTGAGCATACACTATGTGGGCGTGCACTATGTGAGCGTGCACTATTTGAGCGTACACTGTGGGTGTGCACTATGTGAGCATACACTATGTGAGGGTGCACTATGGGTGTGCACTGAGTGTACACTATGTGGGCATGCACTGAGTGTACACTATATGAGAGTGCACTGAGTGTGCACTATGTGAGCGTGCACTATGTGAGCATGCACTATGTGAGCATACACTATGTGGGCATGCACTGCGAGCGTGCACTATTTGAGCATACACTAGGGCATGCACTATGTGAGCGTACACTAGGCATGCACTGAGCATACACTATGTGGTCATGCATTTTGTGAGCATGCACTATGTGGGTGTACACTATTTGAGCATACACTATGTGAGCGTGCACTATGTGAGTGTACACTGAGCATGCACTATGTGGGTGTGCACTATGTGAGCGTGCACTGTGAGTGTGCACTATGTGGATGTACACTATGAGCATACACTGTGGGCATGCACTATGTGAGCGTACACTATGTGGGTGTGCACTGTGAGTGTACACTATTTGAGCATACACTGTGGGTGTGCACTGTGTGAGCAAACACTGTGGGCATACACTGAGCGTGCACTATGTGAGCGTGCACTATGTGGGCATACACTGAGCGTACACTATGTGGGCGTGCACTATGAGCGTACACTGGGCATGCACTGCGAGTGTGCACTATTTGAGCATTATACTATGTGGGCGGGCATGCACTGCCAGTGTGCACTATTTGAGCATACACTGTGGGCATACACTATGTGAGCGTACACTATGTGGGCACGCACTGCGAGCGTGCACTGTTTGAGCATGCACTGTGAGCGTGCACTATGTGGGCGTACACTATGAGCGTACACTATGTGAGCGTGCACTATGGGCGTACGCTGGGCATGCACTGCGAGCGTGCACTATTTGAGCATACACTATGTGAGCGTGCACTATGAGCGTGCACTATGTGGGCATGCGCTATGAGCGTACACTATGTGGGCATGCACTGCGTGCGTGCACTATTTGAGCATATACTATGTGGGCGTGCACTATGAGCATACACTGAGCATGCACTGTGAGCGTACACTATTTGAGCATATACTACGTGGGCATGCACTGTGAGCGTGCACTATGTGGGTGTGCACTGCGAGCGTGTACTATTTGAGCATACAGTGTGAGCATGCATTTTGTGAGTGTGCACTGTGTGAGCGTACACTATGCGTGTACTATGTGAGCATGCACTATGTGAGCATGCACTATGTGGGCGTGCAGTGAGCGTGCACTGTGAGCGTGCACTATGTGAGTGCACTATGTGAGCGTGCACTGTGTGAGCGTGCACTATTTGAGCATACACTATGAGGGTGCACTATGTGGGCGTGCACTGTGAGCATGCACTATGTGAGTGTGCACTATGTGAGCATGCACTGTGTGAGCATGCACTATGTGAGCATAGACTATGTGGGCATGCACTATGTGAGCGTGCACTATGTGAGCGTGCACTATTTGCGCATACACTGTGAGCGTGCACTATGGGCGTGCACTGTGAGCGTGCACTATATGAGTGTGCACTATGTGAGCAGTGCACTGTATGTGAGCGTGCACTGTGTGAGCATGCACTATTTGAGCATACACTATGTGGGCATGCACTATGTGAGCAGTGCACTATTTGAGCATACACTATGTGGGCGTGCACTATGTGGGCATGCACTGTGAGCGTGCACTTTGTGAGTGTGCACTATGTGAGCGTGCACTATGTGAGCGTGCACTGTGTGAGCATGCACTATTTGAGCATACACTATGTGGGCATGCACTATGTGAGCGTGCACTATGTGAGCATGCACTATTTGAGCATACACTATGTGGGCGTGCACTGTGAGCGTGCACTGTGTGAGCGTGCACTGTGTGAGCGTGCACTATTTGAGCATACACTATGTGAGCGTGCACTATGAGCGTGCACTATTTGAGCATACACTATGTGGGCGTGCACTGTGAGCGTGCACTGTGTGAGCGTGCACTATTTGAGCATACACTATGTGGGCGTGCACTATGTGGGCGTGCACTATTTGAGCATACACTATGTGGGCGTGCACTATGTGGGCGTGCACTGTGAGCGTGCACTGTGTGAGTGTGCACCGGCCAGGAAGGGGCCGGGATCAGAGGAAAGTGGGAGAACCTCAGAGGTGGCGGCTGGGCGGGATGAGTGGGGCAGACTCATCTCCTCTGTCACCTCCCCTCCAGGCCACCCTGCCTTTCTGGGTGGGGTGCTGGGAGCCGCCTCTGCTATCTGAGATGCCAGGGCCCAGCCCGCCTTCTCTCTCCTTGTCTTGTTGCTTAAAACCCAAACAAACCTGGAGCTTCAAGGCCTGGGGCACGTGCTCCCCTGCCCTGCCCTCCCTCCCGCTGTCGTCTTCCTCGCTGACCTGCTGCGCCGTGCTCCTGGGAGCCCAGGTGTGGGGCAGATGGCAGCATCTTTGGAGCTTCCTCGATTGTGCCTTGTGTGTAGCATCACGGTCACCTGTGTGTGCCAGACTAGCAGTTAAGCCAGTGTTAGAGTCAGTACTGAGTCAATCTGTCCCTGTCACAGAGCAGGTTTATGGGATACCAGAATAAATCTGAATCTGTCCCCTTCTGCCCTGGATTTTAGCAGAAAAGTGGCTTAGAGCCATATCCCTGGGCTTGTCTAGACACAGATTCCTGTGGGTTTTGTTTTCTTTATCTGTGCAGAAATGTCTCTACCTCAGACATACTAGCCTAGCAGGATTACCCTCCTGACACCAGTTACCCTGATCGGGTGCACAGTGCACCCAGTAGCTCTACAGAGTTGACCTAATAAAGTTTCCTGGGCTAACAGCCCTTTCTTTTGTAGGTGAAGAAAAAATGTTCCCTCCACCCTGTTAGGTTCAGTGGCTGGGGGCTGCAAATTAAACTGGCATAAGACAGATCAATAGGAAAAGAAAGCATACAATTTTATTAATATTTTAAGTTTCATTGCATAAGAACTTTATAGAAAAGAAGCAAAGAAGAGCCCTTAGATTCTGCGCGTTATATTTGTAAATTGTGGAGAACTGACTGGACACAGAAAACAGATTGGGCTTCTAGGGCTGATAAACGGTGGGAAGGTGACCAGATAATGGACCTTGCAGTAAGGTCTGTTTAGGCAGACTCCTCTCCTGGGATTAGAGTGCCCTCCTCTTCCTGGTAGAGGGGTTGCCTTTCTCATGGAGAATGAATACCCTGCTTTTAGGCAGACAGGAGTACAGAGAGCTCTTCTGTACCTGCTTTTACTCAGAATCATCCTCATACCACAGCGGCATTTTGGGGGGTGACATGTCCTGTTCTCTCCACTGCGTTAGGGCCTGTGTGATGTTAACCGCAGCAAACTTTTACCTGCTCCGTGGCCTGAGAAAGCTCAGTCCTCCCCATGGGGCTGTGTGTCCACTGCCAGAGCTGGGGCCCACGAGCTCCATGACAAGTTTACTCCTTGCCTGGCGCTGACCTGCAGTCATGACAGCTGAACAAGCCCCAGGCTGGGTTGCCCCCAGGTGGTAAACAGGAAAGTCCCAGCAAGTTCCAGTTCCAGGGATCAGCACATGGGAAAGAGAACGTAGCCCCAGTTCTCTCTGGGTTTGTGTATCACGTGGTACTTGTAGGGGAGGGGTTTGCCACCGGAAGGAGGACGCGCGAAGATCCCAGGCCCCAAGCCCCAGCATCCCAGTTCTGACGACATGCAGGGTAAGAGGCTTCCGTTCTCATCTGGCAAGAGACACAAAGATGTGTGTACTTGAAATGCAAGATCTTTGCCGTGCTGGGTGCATTGTGCTGCTTTACCGCCCATTCCATCTGTTCACATGCTGTTTGTAACCTTAGTGTTGAAACCTGAAAATGCTGGCTGGGCGCAGCGGCTCACGCCTGTAATCCCAGCACTTTGGGAGGCTGAGGTGGTTGGATCACCTGAGGTCAGGGGTTCGAGACCACCTGGCTGACATGACGAAAACCCGTCTCAACTAAAAATACAAAAATTAGCTGGGTGTGGTGATGGGTACCTATAATCCTAGCTACTTGGGAGGCTGAGGCAGGGGAATCGCTTGAACTCAGTAAGTGGAGGTTACAGTCTGCCAAGATTGCGCCACTGTACTCCAGCCTGAGGGACAGAGTGAGACTCCTGTATCAACAAAAAAAAAAGAAAAAGAAAGAAAGAAAGAAAAAGAAAATATCAGAGGGACTGAAGCATCGAGGGAGAAGTTGAGAGGCGCTGGGCCAAGTGTTTGAGGTGTCGTTGGATTACAGGGACCAGGCCTGAGTTTTCTGCGGCAGGCTGGCAGCAGTGAGGAGGGCGGCCTGGAGACAGGGACCCCTGTCTGGGGTTCTTGCAGCTCCTGGGGAGCTGAGCCCAGGCAGAGACAACAGGCAGCTGGACGTGCTGTTGGTGCCCCAGAGGTGCCAGGCGGTCTCCTTGAATCCGCAGATCGCGAGGTCAGGTGTGGAACCCAAGTGAGCGCCCTGGGGCCGGGCAGCTGAGCTCACGTCCTGGCCCGGCTACCGGGGCAGACTTCCAGACCCTCCGGCACCTCCGTCCGTCCAGAGCATGGATAGAGGGGTGACTAGCCAAGCCTCAGGGTGGCCGAGGAGCCAAGAGGTGTGGCCAGCACAAGGCCCGTGGCTGATGAGGCTGTCAGATGGGGATGAGGTGGAAGTGAACAGACCCTTCTAGGAGTGGGTTGCTGGCACCCGAAGCACACGAGGTGCCGCAGGCTCGTGTGTGGGATTCTCGCTGCTTCCCGGTACGCCCGGCATGGAGAACCGTGGGAATGAGAATTGAGGACCTAGAATGCAGGTGTACCCAGCCTGGGGCTTATTACAGTGACAGCGGTGACGCCGAAAACGCGCAAGGTCCCGAGTGGCTCGGAGGAAAGATGGGGCGGGCAGCCAGCCGTCTGCATCCACGCCGACGGTCCTGCCAAAACACCGTGGCTTGCACTGTGGCAGATGTGTCCTGCTAGCAGCTCTGGAGGCTGAAAGTCCAAGATCAAGTCCTTCAGGTTCAGTGTATGATGAGGGCACCTTCTCCCTGTGGCTTCAGTGGTGAAAGTGGGGAGGGTTCCTTCATGAAAACACTGATTCCATCGAGGTGGCTCTGCCATCCTGACCTCGTCACCTCCTGAAGGCCCTGCCTCCCACGTCATCTCCCTGGGGGTTGGGATTTCAAGCTGTGAATTTGGGGGGAGTCTGGTGGAGGCAGGGGGGCAGAATTTTTGGACCCCAGCATAGGCTTGGCCCAGGCCCTGTGTGAGCTGGCGGGTGAGGAGGAAGAGGCGCTGGCTTGGGAACAGGAGAGCTCAGCATCAGCTCGGGGGCCGACGGGGTGCAGCCAGAGCCCCTGAGGACAGCTTTGCGAAGCAGGAAGAGGCCTAGGGTAGGGCAGCAAGATTGAGAACTAGAAAGACACCCCGTGTGAGAAAAAGGAGAGAATACAGGCCGGCTGGGACTGCCAGTCTCTGGGAAGAGGTGGTCCTGCCCACCACCACTTTGTCCCCATTTTCTCTGAGGAACTTGGGACAGGGGGTCAGGTGTGCCCTGGGGACTGGGGCCTCATGGCCCTGCCTGGCCTCTCCCGCAGGTGAAGCTGGAGAAGTCGCTGGAGCACCTCCGGAAGCAGATGCAGGACGCGCTGCTGTTCCAGGCCCAGGCAGATGAGACCTGTGCCTTGTGGCAGGCAGGTGCTGGGGCTCCCAGGGTCTCGGGTGGCGGGGCAGGGGACCCCGGGAGCGATGCTGGCTGGGCACACTTGCCCTCAGCACCCCATGACCAGTTACTGCTTCAGCCTGGCCCCACCGAGCCCACTGAGGGCTGCCCTGCGTGCACCTGTCCTGCTGGCCTCAGGGTGGGCATGTGCCACCACACCCCCCAGAGCCCCACCCTGTGGTCCCAGCATGCTTGGGTGGCAACTCTGAGGTGGACCTGGAGGTGAATTTGGAGGCTTTGGGTGATTACGTGGTAGATGGTGGGATTCGGCCATCCCTAGGAGTCGATTCGGGGTCTCGGGGGCCCTGGGTGGCAGATTAGGGGTCTGGGCAGCCCCAGCTGTAGATACAGCGTTCTACCAAAGCCAGGGCTGGGTTTGGAAGTCGGGGAGGACTAGATGGTTTGGAGTCTGGCAGGTTTCAGCTCGTGGTAAAGTAGCGTTTGACTGTCCCTGAGTGGTGCATTTGGGGTTTGGGAGGTGCCACAGGTGGGTGTGGGGTCTGGTCTTAGCTGTCCTCTCTGGGCCCTGCAGAAGATGGTGGAAAGCCAGCGGCAGAACGTGCTGGGCGAGTTCGAGCGTCTCCGCCGCTTGCTGGCCGAGGAGGAGCAGCAGCTGCTGCAGAGGCTGGAGGAGGAGGAGCTGGAGGTGCTGCCGCGTCTGCGGGAGGGCGCGGCCCGCCTGGGCCAGCAGAGCTGCCCACCTGGCGGAGCTCATCGCCGAGCTGGAGGGCCGCTGCCGGCTGCCCGCGCTGGGGCTGCTGCAGGTGAGCTGGGCGGGGCGGCGGGGCGGCAGCCGCGGAGGCCACCCGGGGGTGGAGGTTGTCTGGGTGGAGACGTGAGTGGCCTGGCTGGATGTGCCCGGCTCTTGGCTTTGAAACGCTGAGTCAGCAGCAGGATGGACGTCCCGCCCGTCCCACCCCCAAAACCCATGTGCTGAGAAAGGCACGATCCATTTTCCTCTATAGACGTTCGCAGGTGGCATCTCTCAAGTGCTTACGTAAGGTCACGCCATCTCGGCCTGACAGCGGTCGCCGCTCCCCGTGGGCACAGTGGAGAGTGTGTGTGTGCCCGCCGGCCCGCCTGGCGCAGGATGCATGGGCCGGTGCTGCTGACCCCGCTCCCCACGGGCTCTGACCTGCCCTCCCTGCCTGGGACCACCTGGGGCCTCCCACAGGCGTCCCCAGCAGGAAGTCCTCGTCCTTCTCTCTGTCCCCACCACACACCCGTGTGTCTCCATCACGAGGGGTCTCATCCTCCTCTGCTTCCGGGGACTCCTTCCCCATGTGGGGCTCCACTCCCCGAGCCGGTCCTCCTGGGCCTGGGCCTCCCTAGGTGCGGCCCCAAACCGGAACCAGCGGATGCCCTGCCGTCTGGCCTGGTGTCAGCTCTCCCCGCTTGGCAAGCATGCCCCGAGGGCACTCCCGTGCTGAGATGCCCCGTGTGGGCTGGGGGTGTCTGCTGCTGTATTTGTCCCACAGAACGGAGAACGTGTTCCGCACCCAGCATGTGTAGACCCAAGGGGCCCGAAGATTCCCAGGGAAACCGGGGCCCTGGGCAGTTCCTGCTCTTCCAGAGGAGAGAGGCGGTGTGAGGGAATTTGGCCACGGGTGGGGCAGGGCTGCCGGACCCAGGTGGAGCCCACAGCGCCGCCGATGTGGCTGGGGGGCTTTGCACAGCAGGTTACCCACCGCCAGCCTCTGGTCGAGCAGGACGTCAGGCCGGGCTCCTGGTTTTGTTTGTCATTTCTGTCGTGAGCTGTTTTCTGTATATGTTTTTCTGTTTTAATTGTTTTTGTGGATTTAAGGGGTGCGAGTGCAGCCGGAGCGTCACCATCGCCTGAAGCTGCACGCTGCACCCAGGCAGCTCCCCACCTCCCACCTCCCGGGGGCAGCGTCCTCTGTCCACTCCACGTGCACCTGCTTGGACATTAACTGGCTTTGAGCCTGGGAAGAGGGAGGGATGCTCGGCCAGTGTCTGTGGGAAGACTGAGTAATACAGACAGAGTCCCGTGGTCCGTAAATCTTGGGGCACGGAGGTACCCAGGGGACTGAGGAGGCGCTGTCAGGGAGAGCAGGTGTTGGAGAAGCTAGGGAGGGTTTAGAAGGAAGGAGTTGACCTGGAAACGGGGACCCACAGAGTTTGTGTGAAGAGGGATTTGGGCTCTCAGCTGCAATGTTGTGGCATGTGGGTGGGTCTTGGGTCTCATATGCCTGCCTGCGTTCACCTTGCTGAGCGGCCTGCCTGTCCATGCCTTGGCCAAGCTCCCTGCCCAGGTTTGGCCTGGCTACAAGGCTTCAGGAGGTCCCTCCTGTCCCCCCAGCCTGCCGGCCCAGAGCTGCTCTGGCATGTGTGCGGTGGGGTCCCCACCTGGGGGTCACATGCGAGCAGCCCCAGGGCTCTTTGTTGGCGTGGGCTGTGCGCCGATCTGAGAGGGAGGGGTGGGGTGGGTTTGCACCGTTGGCCACCAGTTGGGTTGGGGGGCCCAGCCCGCGTTCCCGGCACCCAGGCCCGCTGGACAAGGCTCGCAGGGTGGAGGAAGGGGCTTGAGTGGCTCCCGGAGTCCGCTCGCTGGGGCCCTGGCTGCTGTGGACCCTAGGGTCCTGGCTCGCGGCAGGCCCTGCTCGTAGCTGCGAAGTGGTTTTGTCTGTCAGTGCTGTGCAGAAACCGTCCCCCTCCTGGAGGCCAACGTTGTCCTCCACCCCCGTGGCCCTCTCCGGCCGCCCTGCCCCGGCCTTGTGACAGCCACCTCCTGTTTCCAGATGACCCCAGGGTGGGCCCCCCAGGTAGAACAGCCACGGTGGCGCTGCTCCCAGCTGCCTTGCTCACTGTGGTCCCAGCACTCGGCGGTGGCCGCCCACCGCTGCCCTGTGCCCGCCCCTCCCTCTCCTGCACACTCCCCGTGTCTACCAGCAAACTCTCCTTGGGCTTCAGAGCTCTACCAAGAGTCTCCTGTTTATTCATTTGTTTATGAATTATTTATTGAGACAGGGTCTCATTCTGTCGCCTAGACTGGAGTACAGTGGCACGATTGTGACCCGCGGCAGCCTCAACATCCTGGGTGCCAGCGACCCTCCCACCGCAGCCTCCTGAGTAGCTGGGACCCGGGTTCAAGCTGTTCTTCTGCCTCAGCCCTCCGAGTAGATGGGACTACAGGCACGCACCACCAAGTCCAGCTAATTAAAAAAAATTTTTTTTAGTGATGGGGTTTCACCATGTTGGTCAGCCTGGTCTTGAACTCCCGGACTCAAGTGATCCGCCTGCCTTGGCCTCCCACAGTGCTGGCCTGCTTGATGAAACCCCATCTGTACTACAAAAACAAAAATTAGCCAGATGTAGTGGTGCGCGCCTGTGGTCCCAGCGACTCTGGAGGCTGAGGCAGAAGAATCACTTGAACCGGGTGGCAGAGGTTGCAGTGAGCTGAGATCATGCCACTGCACTCCAGCCTGGTGACAGAGCGAGACTCTATCTCAAAATAATAATAATAATAATAAAAAATAAAATAAAATTTTGGAGGGGCCTAGAGTGTGATGTTCTCCACACACCGTTATAGACAGAATTAACTACTCGTATGTGGGGAAGTCTTCCTTCGCCGTTTCTCCTGTGTGCAAGGATACCTCGTCTGGGCGCGTGTCCTACCTCTGCACCTGGCCTGGTAGCTGGCACGTGTGCCAGAATGAACAGGGTGTGGGGTCGTCTGTGTGACAGTGTGGCTTAAACCCCTGCAGTGCACTGGGGGCTGCTGTAAGAGACACGAGACCGTGCCTCCCGGGAGTTCCTGGGTGTGTCACGCCAGCCCCGGCTGCCACCTGGACTACCACTGGCCGGGGGCCTCCCCAGCTGAGACCGATTATCTCCCAGTCCTGGACGCTGGAAAGCTGAGGTCAAGGCTGGTTCCTCCTCGGGCCTCTCCTGAGCCTGTAGACGCCATCTCTTCCTGTGTCCTCACAGGGTCGGCCCTCTGTGGGCGTCTGTGCCCCAGTCGCCCCTTCTTATGAAACCTAAGTTCTGTTGGATGACAGCCACCCTCGTGGCCTCATTTTACTATGGTTTCCTCTTTAAAGGCCGTTTTTCCCAATGGTCTAGTTCTGAGGTCCTGAAGTTTCCAGCTTCAACATACAGATTTGGTGGGGTGGACACAGCTCGGGCCCTAACACGGAGTCAGATGCTGTCATGGATCAGGCAGCGACATGGGAAGGAGGCAGCCCATGTGTAGGGCAGGGCAGGGAACCCGCAGGCCCGGTGGAGCTGGCGGAGGGAGCAGTGCAGCCGTGGGTCTGGGCTCCGGCTGGGGTGGGGGCGCCCCTAGCTGGAGGCTGGGATTCGTGCCTGTCCTGCCTTGGCACCCGGGGCGCCCCTTGGGGCTCTGGGTAGTGAGCCAATGGCCAGATGCCCTGCGTCCAAGTGTCAGGCAGAAGTGGGGCTTGGTCCGCAGGGCTGCGCTGTGCCCGTTGGAGATGGCCTCCTGGCACACGTGCCCGAGCTTCCTCCAGCATGCCTGGGACTCAGCCTGGCTGCGGGTGGTCTCTGGCCCCCTGTGTGTGTTTTTTGCTGCCTGAGGTGCAAACGTGGGGCTTCGGGGGCGGGGGTGGGCTCCGGGAGCAGGTGATGGTCACTGACACCGAGTGTGCTGTTTCCTCTCCACGTAGGACATCAAGGACGCCCTGCGCAGGTACGAGCCCAGCTTCCCGCGGGGGGCGTGGTGGGAGGGAGTGGGGTGGGGGCCTGGCTCTTGGCCATGGGGATGACATCTGGGCTGTCCCCTCTAGGGTCCAGGATGTGAAGCTGCAGCCCCCAGAAGTTGTGCCCATGGAGCTGAGGACCGTGTGCAGGGTCCCGGGCCTGGTGGAGACACTGCAGAGGTTTCGAGGTGGGTGTGGAGGCCCCCGGTGGGGAGATGACTCCAGGAGGGGACACCCCAAGCAGCCAGCCACGTGTTCTGTGCCCTGCCGCTGCCAGCTCCAGACTCAGTGTCGTGATGGTGGGTGTGGGAGAACGTCCTCGGCTCATACTTCTGGCGTCAGTTGTGTGGGTGTTTTCACACCCAACGGTTCTTCAACTTCCTGGGCACTAAGTGGGTATCCAAGGCTTCCGTTCCGCATTGAACGGGATTGCCAGCGCCGACACTGCAGGAGTCACTACAGACCCTGTGGAGTAAGGGTTCAGTCCCACGGGACTGCCCACCTGAGATGCCCGTCACAGCTTCCCGGGGCTGCCCCTCCGCAGGTGTGAGCCTTGGCTGGCACAGCCCACGGAACTTGGGAGGGCACTCTACTTACCGTCGTGGGTTTGTTGTGAAGGACAGCACTCTGGAAGGGGCACAGAGCCTCCCAGCGCCTCCATGTGTTCACCAGCCCGGAAGCTCCCAGAGCCCCAGGAGCTGTTCAGCTGTCTTCATGGAGGGTCCATGGCAGGGTCAGGATTGATTAAATCATTGTCACTGGTGGTGGGGCTCAGCCTCAGGCCCCTTTCCCCTTCCTGAGGTCAGGGGCTGGGGCTCAGCGAGGGCTCAGTGTTCGCGCCCTCTGCTCATGGGATTGGTCCTTCTGGCGGCTGGCCCTCTGCTGGGCTCTCTTCGGGTCCCCACCTCAGCCACTGCAGTGGCGTCAGTGCCTCAGGTGTGATGGAAAGGGGCATCTTACGATAACACAAGGCGCTCTTGTCACTCAGGAAATTCCCAGGGTTCTGTGAGCTCCATGCCAGGAATTGGGGACAAAACCCAGATCTGTTTCTTGTATCCCCGTCACCCGGAGGAAGTCCTGTCCTGAGCCCTTGCTGGTGCCGGGAGCCTGTCACGGGAGCTGTGTTTAGGCCTCCGGAGAGACCAGATTTCAGAGACCCGAAATCTGGGCGTGGTCAGGGCTGGACTGCCACCCTAATTTGCGTCCTTCATTTGGGGATTGAAAGAACGGACGGGCTGGGTGCCGTGGCTCACATCTGTAATTGTAATCCCAGCACTTTGAGAGGCTCACGGGGGAGGATTGCTTGAGGCCGGCAGTTCAAGACCAGCCTAGGAAACAGCAAGACTCCCATCTCTACAAATAAAAAACTAAAAAATGAGCCGGCCATGGTGGCACATGCCTGTAATCCCAGCAACTGGGGAGGCTGAGGCAGGAGGATCACTGGCGTGCAGGAGGTCAAGGCTGCAGTGAGCCATGATTTTGCCCCTGCACTGCAGCCTGGGGTCACAGAGCAAGACTGTGCCTCTTTAAGAGAAAACAAAACAAAAAACAAAAGGAAGCAACCGGCCAGGTGCAGTGGCTCACACCTGTAATCCCAGCACTTTGGGGGCTGAGGCTGAGACGGGCAGATCACCTGAGGTCGGGAGTTGGAGACCAGCCTGACCAAAGTGGAGAGACCCCGTCTCTACTAAAAATATACAAAAGTAGCTGGGCGTGGTAGCGCGTGCCTGTAATCCCAGCTACTCGGGAGGCTGAGGCAGGAGAATGGCTTGAACCCGGGAGGTGGAGGTTGCGGTGAGCCGAGATCGCGCCCTGCACTCCAGCCTGGGCGACGAGCAAAACTCCATCTCAAAAAAAAAGCAACCAAGATTCCCTCTTGACATCTGAAGGCAAAACATGGGCCCATTTCTAGGACATTGTGAGTTGCAGCTGGACGTGGTTAGTGGGTTTTTTTCTGGGGAGGGGATGCCCGCCTGGAGAGTACGTTCCTCCAGGAAGCGGTGAGGCTGCAGGAGCCTGGCGCAGACAGCCACGGCCTTCGGGCTGGGAGGATCCTGCCCGCGCACCCAGGACCTGGGCAGGTGGCCCCAGCTTGCCCGTGGCCTGGGTGACCTTGAGCCTCTCTCTGCAGGGGACGTGACCCTGGACCCGGACACCGCCAACCCTGAGCTGATCCTGTCTGAAGACAGGCGGAGCGTGCAGCGCGGGGACCTGCGCCAGGCCGTGCCCGACAGCCCGGAGCGCTTCGACCCTGGCCCCTGCGTGCTGGGCCGGGAGCGCTTCACCTCAGGCCGCCACTACTGGGAGGTGGAGGTGGGCGACCGCAGCAGCTGGGCCCTGGGCGTGTGCAGGGAGACCGTGAACCGGAAGGAGAAGGGCGAGCTGTCCGCGGGCAACGGCTTCTGGATCCTGGTGTTCCTGGGCAGCTACTACAACTCCCCCGAACGGGCCTTGGCCCCGCTCCGGGAGCCGCCCAAGCGCGTGGGCATCTTCCTGGACTATGAGGCCGGGCGTCTCTCCTTCTACAGCGCCACCGACGGCTCGCTGCTCTTCATCTTCCCCGAGATCCCCTTCTCGGGGACGCTGCGGCCGCTCTTCTCGCCCCTGTCCAGCAGCCCGACCCCGATGACCATCTGCCGGCCGAAAGGTGGGTCCGGGGACGCCCTGGCTCCCCAGTGACTCCCGGAGGAGCCCTGTCGCCTCTCCTGCCCTCCAGGCCGCGGGGCGCTCTGGCCACTGGGAGGACCTGGGAGGAGGGAGTGTGTCCTTTGAGTACGAGGAGGGACTCCTAGTGCCTTTCCGAGCCTGCGTGGGAGAACCCCCGGAACCCGTGGGAGGTGCGGGCCAGACTCACCCTCCCCGGAAGACCCTTCCCGCCACGGGGTGCCACTTAGTACCGACAGCCCTCACCAAAGCTGGGAACCCATGGCCGCGGCGGCTCTGGCCTGTGGTTCCAGAAGCTGCAAAAGCTCCCCCAGAGCTTGCAGAATCCAGGGTCCACCTCAGCTGCACAGTTCTTGCAGCGTGGCCAACCCCCAAAAGTCCTGTGCACCCCACCTCGGAAGATGCTGGGGGAGGCAGCTGGGATGGGAGCCGGCCCATGCCTGTCTGTGGCCCCACAGTGGTTGAGAGCCGGTCAGTCCTGGGTGGGGCTGCTTCAGAACAATTAGGGGGCAGCCCTAATAAGAGTCTTCAGAGAGGTGGTGGGAGGAGCCGGTGAGGACGGGAACCGAGAGTAGATGTCCCAGAATCGAGGGGCTTCCAGGAGGTGCCCGGGCACAGATGCCTGTTGAGCCGGCGTGTGGGCCTGGAGGAGAGAGCAGAGCCAGAAACGTCACCTGCAGGCCCACATGGTGAGTTCAAGCTTTCACGGGCCTGTCGCCGTTGGGTTTTGCCCTTTCAAAGGCTTCCCTTGTCTCCGGTGGCCCCTGAGGACCCAGGGTCCCAGCGGCTGCTTGTGGATATACACTTCTGGTCCCCTTACCCTGGGAGGAGCAGGAGGGACCCAGAGTCCGGAGCACACAGAAGCAGCTAGGAGCTGGGTTTTGTGTTGGGTTTGGGTTCTTTGTCCTCGAGGTGCTGCTCTGCCTCTGTTTACCCTCTGCTCTATTTATTGTTGGCGTTCCCACGTTCAATAAACTCTGGCTGTTGTCTACAAGTCATCCTGCCGGTGCCTGCTTAGCCTAGGATAATAGCGGGTTCCCCACTGTGCCCAGCAGAGCGCAGGGCCCCAGGGAGGCCGGTGATAGGGCAGGTGGGAAGCTCGGGCAGAGTGGGGGCCGGGACAGGCAGCCGCTTTCCACGCCAAGCACTGAGGAGTCACGGGTGGGCTCTCTGCTTTCTTTGCCCAATGTACATGTTCTGGACGGGTGTGGCGGCTCACGCCTGTAATCCCAGTACTCTGGGAGGTAGAGGTAGGCAGGTCACCTGAGGTCAGGCGTTCAAGACCAGCCTGGCCAACATGATGAAACCCCATCTCTACTAAAAATACAAAAATTTAGCCCGGCGTGGTGGCGGGCACTTGTTACCCCAGCTACTCAGGAGGCTGAGGCAGGAGAATCACTTGAACCCGGGAGGCGGAGGTTGCAGTGAGCCAAGATCACGCTCCAGCCTGATCTGGACAAGTGAAACTCAATCTCAAAAAAAATTGTGTGTGTGTGTGTGTGTGTGTACACACGTTTCTTATGTGGAGCTATTGCAGGTATTTTTTTTTGAGATAACTTGGTAAGTGTTTCCTGTGTTCCATCGTGCTTTAATGAGTCCAGTCTCCTGAAGGTATTCTTCATTCTCTCATTCTGGTCTTTAATGGCCGGGGCCTGGCAGCATTAGTAAGATCAGCAGTTTCATTCAGCTGCACAAAGAGAAGTCTGAGTGGAACCCAGAGGGCTGCGCATTTCTCTGTGGTGGGGCGGGCTTTCTGTTTTTTGCTGTTTTTTTGAGACAAGGTCTTAACTCTCACCCAGGCTGGAGTGCAGTGGTGCAAACACGGCTCACTGCAGCCTCCACCTCCCAGGCTCAGGTGATCCTCACACCTCAGCCTTCCAGGTGGCTGGGACTACAGGCGCACGCTACAGACGGGACCATCCCCAGCGAATTTTTGCAAAGACGGTGCTTCACCATGTTACACAGGCTGATGAGCTCCTGGGCTCAAGAGATCCTCCAGCTTCAGCCTTCCAAGCAGCTGGGACCACTGGTGCACACCACCACATCTGGCCAATCTTTAAAAATTTTTTTTGCAGAGGTGGGAATCTCACTATTGCCTAAGCTGGTCTCAAACTCCTGGGCTCAAGCGATCCTTGGCCTCCAGAGTGCTGGATTTCAGACTGAGCCAGCCTGCCTGGTGGGGTGAGTTCCGCCGTGGTCTGTTTGCAGGCGTCTGCCCAGGGTTTCCCTCTGATGGAAGGCGCCCCGCTGCGTCTGTGCCTCCCGGAGTGAGGCGGTCCCCGCCACGCAGAATTGCTGACCTTGTTCGACGTGGTATTATGTAATGCCCCCATGCCCCCACTAAAAAAAGGAAGAATGGGATAACGGTTAAATAAATGACATTCAGGAGACTCGTGAAGCAATGCAATACGGGAAGGGCTCACCAGGTTATCTGAAAACATGATTCCTGAGCCGGGCGCGGTGGCTCACGCCTGTAATCCCAGCACTTTGGGAGGCCGAGGCGGGTGGATCACAAGGTCGACAGATCGAGACCAACCTGGTCAACATGGTGAAACCCCGTCTCTACTAAAAATACAAAAATTAGCTGAGTGTGGTGGCACGTGCCTGTAATCCCAGCTAGTGGGATTTGCTTGAACCCGGGAAGCAGAGGTTGCAGTGAGCTGAGATCGCGTCACTGCACTCCAGCCTGGGTGACAGCCGGGGCAGCCTTGCGGGTGAGACCACAGGTGTGCTCCCAGGACGGTTCTGGCCACCGCTTTGGAGCAAAACCGCACACTCTAGATGTCATGACTCACCTTTCCAGATGTCCCCGCTGACCACTTTGGCCCTGTGGGTGTCACTCCTGCTTCCAGGTAGTGGAGAGATGAGAGGAACATGCAAGACCCTAGGCAGGGAGGAGGTCTCAGAGGGGGTGACAGTGAGCGGCCTGGGCAGGGAGGAGGTCTCAGAGGGGGTGACAGTGAGCGGCCTGGGCAGGGAGGAGGTCTCAGAGGGGGTGACAGCGGCCTGGGCAGGGAGGAGGTCTCAGAGGGGGTGACAGTGAGCGGCCTGGGCAGGGAGGAGGTCTCAGAGGGGTGACAGTGAGCGGCCTGGCACTGTGTCCTACACTAGCTGGGAGCCCCTGTGGGCGCAGCTTGCAGTTGACCGAATATTTAGGTCCCCACAAGTTCCTATGTTGAAATCCTCACTGCAAGTTCGTGTTACGAGGACACGGGGCTTTGGGGATGTGATTAGGTCATGAGTGGGATTAGACCCTCAGCAGTGGGGCCGGCTCTGGGCATCTGCGGTACTTAGGGACGGCGTTCTCTTTCCGGGTCCACAGGGGGTGTCGTTTTAAGGGAAGAACCCCCCAGCACCAGGCTCCCTTCCCATCTCTCCATCCGGGAGATTTAATGGTCTTTGTTTTAATTTTCTCGGGCATGGCAAGAATCAGAAATCAATCAGACGTGAGTTTTTCCAAGCAACCTCACTGAAGCCATATAATGGAATACATTTTTCTTTGAAAGGGTCTGTATAATCATTTTCTAGAAAGTATGGTTATGTGTACTAATGTTTTTATATGAAGAAAATAGGTGTCTTTGTGGTTTTAAATACAACTGTGAAATAAAATTTTCTCACTGCCCTGGTTAAAAAAAAAAAAAAAGAAATCAGTCACTTCAGTGGAAGTTCTAAGGAACTCCTTCATTGGCCAGGGGTCTTGGAGAAGCTGGGGGTTCCTCCCAGGTTAAAAGTCCCCTTCTTCGGGGCCGGGCGCGGTGGCTCAAGCCTGTAATCCCAGCACTTTGGGCGGCCGAGGCGGGTGGATCACGAGGTCAAGAGATCCAGACCATCCTGGTCAACATGGTGAAACCCCGTCTCTACTAAAAATACAAAAAATTAGCTGGGCATGGTGGCACGTGCCTGTAATCCCAGCTACTCAGGAGGCTGAGGCAGGAGAATTGCCTGAACCCAGGAGGCGGAGGTTGCGGTGAGCCGAGATCGCGCCATTGCACTCCAGCCTGGGTAACAAGAGCGAAACTCCGTCTCAAAAAAAAAAAAAAAAAGTCCCCTTCTTCCACACCCCTTCAGACTCCATGTTTGGGTCCCTTCCTCCCTCTCTCTCTCTCTCTCTCTCTCTGTCTCTCTGTCTCTGTCTCTCTTTCTGTCTCTCTGTCTCTGTCTCTGTCTCTCTCTATGTTTCTCTGTCTCTCTGTGTCTCTGTCTCTCCATCTCTCTCTCTGTCTTTGCCTCTGTCTGTCTGTCTCTCTGTCTTTCTGTCTCTCTGTCTCTCTCTGTCTCTGTCTCTGTCGCTCTGTCTCTGTCTCTCTCTGTGTCTCTCTGTCTCTGTCTCTCTGTGTCTCTGTCTCTCCATCTCTCTCTGTCTGTCTCTGTCTCTGTGTCTCTCTGTCTCTGTCTCTGTGTCTCTGTCTCTGTCTCTCTGTCTCTCTCTCTATCTCTGTCTCTGTCTCTCTCTGTCTCTCTCCTCTCTGGTGAAACCTTTCTCTCTTCCTTTTCTTTTTCTCTTTCTCTACCTAAATAAATCACTTTCTGCAAACACTTTGGGGTTCGGTATTTACGAGCACACTGCACCGTGGTCTCCTCTCTCATTCTTGGGAGCGCGAGGGACCAAGAACCTTGGAGAAATGTCCTCTCAGGGGAGCCAAGGGCTCCCCGAACCCCTGAACCCTAGCAGTACATTGCCCATGCACTGTCCGACATGGTCCAAAGACAGAGAGTCGTCGTCCAGGCCACGCGTCCATGTCCTCCTCTGCATCTGCTGGGCCCACCCGACGGTAGCTGGCCACCCTTGGAGTGCCCACAGTGTCCCAGCGCCAGCTGTGCAGCACCAAGCCATACCAGTGCCCCTGTGTGTGCCCTGGAGTCCCCTGCACCGCAGTGCCCAGCTCACCCCACACCATCCCCATCTTGCCCTCTCCCACCACATGCTCCTTCTGTGCACCCAATGCCCCCTGCACCTGCAGCCTCCCAGTGAGCTCAGACCCCCCAGGGCCCACGGGTCGCCCAAGCCCTAGATCCCCTTACTCCCTTGGTGGCCACGGAGCCCAGTGCCTCTGTGTTAGCAGTGCCTGGAGCCTCTGGTCACCCCATACCCATGCCCTGTGCACTCCAGGCACCCAGAGAGGCCCCTCATGCCCTATTTGCTTTCTTCCCTCCCGCATCCTCGCCCTCCTGGGTGCCCCACGTTCACTGGGGCAACCCTGGCATCTGGGGGAGGCGGTGCAGAGCCCCTCATGAGCCTGAGTGGGCCCCCTGTCACCATCCTGGAGCTCTGTCCCTGCTGTACCCCAGGCCCCTGCACTGGCCCTGCCCACCCTGTCCACCCCAGCCCAGAGTCGCCTCCCCCGGCCACTCTGACTTTTTTGTAACAATGTTTTTTTTAGATGGAGTTTTGCTGTTACTGCCAAGGCTGGAGTGCAGTGGCATGATCTTGGCTCACCCTAACCTCTGCTTCCCGGGTTCAAGCAATTCTTCTGCCTAAGCCTCCTGAGTAGCTGGGATTACAGGTGCCCACCACCACACCCAGCTAATTTTTGTATTTTTAGTAGAGAGGGTTTCACCATGTTGGTCAGGCTGGTCTGGAACTCCTGACCTTGTGATCTCCCTGCCTCGGCCTCCCAAAGTATTGGGATTACAGGCGTGAGCCCCTGTGCCCAGCAACAATTTAATTCTGGTATAGTTTTTCACACAGTAAAATTCAGTAGTTTCGAGGATACCATTCAATGGTTTTTACTAAATCCACCATCACCATGATTCAATTTCAGGACATTTTCATCAACTCAGAAAGATGTCTCTGGCCTACTTCTAGTCTGCTAATATGTTTGATCAAAATTTGATCAAAAATATCTTTTCAAAAAGCAACTTTTTTTTTTTTTTTTTGAGATGGAGTCTTACTCCGTCACCCAGGCTGGGGTGCAGTGGTGCAATCTCAGCTCACTGCAACCTCTGTCTCCTGGGTTCAAGTGATTTTCTGCCTCAGCCTCCTGAGTAGCTGGG